CTATTGCAAATATAAAGAACATTCTTTATTTAAAAAGCAGCAACTTTCCTACAAGAGCTATAAGGAGATGAACAACTTTTAGGATAAGCTTGGGCACAACAGTGAAGGAAGAAAAAGACGACCAAAGTAGATTAGCATTTTAACTTTTTTTTTTTTTACTTGTGTATGGCAACCGTTGCAATGGTAATAGAATAAAAACTAAAGCAAAATAAAAGGATTTATTGTAAAGAATTTTGCAGAACTTAACATTTCTTTAAACCTGTGGCCCAGCCTCAGCGACTTCCAGTGTAGAAAACAAAGAAAAAAAAAAAAATAGGACACCTTCCCAAATACCATTTGAAAAGACTGGTAATCTGTTGCTCGTCCCCCGTGTATCAAGAACAGGTTACATTATACAATGCATCGTGCTCCCATTCTGACAAACACTTTAAGGGCAGTTTGTAATACTTGAAACTCGGCAAAGTCTGATACTCCAGCTAATAAAAACGTAAGCCTAGTGGTACACCAAGCAACTTTAATAGCGTCAGCTACGGAAGTTAATCTGTCAACTTAAAAGTGAACTCCAGGCAAGCAGACCTGAAATACACGTGAACTGATTTACTTGCCAAAATTAGACTGATTTTTGTTTTTATTCTTGTAATCCAGGCTCCCCTGACCTTCAGTGCACTTAAGCAATACAGCTTGGTCAAGGATCCACCCCCAACCTGCTGACTGGACAACGAAAGAGCAGTAGCACATTGATAAGGTCGTTGCTTTACTTTCCCGCTACGAAGCATGTTCAGTGTTAGGCTGTGCACACACCTTACAACCATCGCAAGACTTTAGTCTTGCAATGGTTGTAAGGTACTTAAAAAAAAAAAAAACGTACGATAGGCAGATCGTACTTGCGATGATCGCAAGCCACGCCCCCTGAGGGACAGGTTTCCGATGACCGCAATGCCGAACGGGCAGTGCGCGCTTGCACACCGGCCCGTACGGCTTTTATCGTACGAACATGCCACAAACCCGCCGAACGTCGTACGATGCTCGGCGGGTTTCCGAACATGTCCGTAAGTTAAAAGTCGTGCGACCTTACAGTAGTAGAGGTCGCACGGCTTCCACACACACCTTACGATAATCGTACGATCGCGGGATTTCCCGTGATTATCGTAAGGTGTGTGGGGACCTTTAGACAACACTGTGCAAAGCAGTAGCGCTCCAACCGACTCAGTATGCCTCTGCTCCCTGTTCCAGTCTCAGTGCTGCAGGGAAATAAAGCAGGATAGTAGAAAAAGACAGCTTTAAGAATCTGTACTAGTTTTACTGTAAAATGAAATTAAAGGAAACCCACTATAAAAGAAACATGGAGGATACCATAGAAGATTCCTTCATTATGAATATTCTAGTTACCTGGCTGCCAAGCTGTCCGTCTGAGTTTAATACTTCAAGTCAATGACACAAAAGAATTAAACAAAAGAATATGACTTTTCTCTGACTCACTTTTGCCACGGATTCAGAAAGCACTGAACGCAATAGGCCAGCATAACACTCAGGCATCTAGAAGGAGGTCTACAATGGAAGAACTCCCATTTCTCTCAGGAAGGATTGACTTTAATATGTACATAACTGGCAGAAATAGAATTATATCTGCCTGGAGTTCAGCTTTAACAAACTTTGTAACTATCGGGAATCTTGCTTTTATATACGTCAGTACAGGCTCTAGAGATATCCAAAATAAGCCCTGTAAAATCTCAGTCCTAGAAACCAGTATTCGTGCTATGCCCCCCTGCTCAGAATTTCATGTCCTGGAGCTTAGCTATAAACTTCATTACTTACAAGGTTTTCCTGTGAAAGTTTCAGGCCCGAGTCACACAGCCTGTGCGAAGAGCAATGGGTACAATGGGTAATGCTGTACCCATAAAGAGCAATGGGTACAGCAGTCATGTACTAAGCAGTTCAGCTGCTCCTACAAGCCCTTAGAGGACCCCTCAGCTCCTGTCAGGTAGAGTTTAAAAGAGAACTATGGGGTAAGTGTTTTTCCCCATAGTTCTCTTAAGGGTAACGGGAGGACATAAACTAGCGTCCTCCCGTCACCCAAAGCTCAGTATACCGCGAGCTACAGCTCGCGGTATACTGAGACCCCCGCAGCCGGGACGAATCGCGAATGACAGCTGGCTCTGCCTATCCAGAGGCAAAGCCAGCTGTACCTGCCCCTTACTCCAGTCAGTGTTGGAGGATCGGAGAGGGGGGAATCCCTGCGGGGAGCCGTGACTGACAGAAGTAAGCGAGCGACGTTATGTGTTCGCTCACTTTCAGATCTATAGAGCCGACAGTTTAATTGTCACAGGTCGGCTCAAACTATGAAGAGGAGTGATTTTCACTCACCTCATAGTTCTCCTTTAATACAATTCATAGTGGGTGCTGGCTGTAACTTTAAAGCAGGTTTCTAGCAAGATTTAGCACTGGTTAAAGCCATAAAGAGACTAAGAGCTGCTAAAAGCTTGTTTAAAGACATAGCTATTAAAGTTATCTGAAAGTCAAAAGGTTTCTAAACTTAATTCAAATGCCGATTAAACCACTTGCAATGGATGCTGCTCCTTGACGTTCAAAAGTTTTAGTTTCCAGCAGAATCAGCTGGTCCTTTGAGCACTGGCCCTGATATCCTGTTTTAGGATGACTCCTTTCCCTTGCAGGGTCCTATGGAGCCACCCTGGTGTGTGCGCCTCCACATACACAGCAAGGCAAACAATTGCCCTGCTCCAAAGCTAGTAGATGGGCAGCTACTGGAGACTGTGCTGTCCCTTGTGCACTTGTACTGAACGGCAAGTTCAGGGAAGCAGAGCTGAAAGAGTTGGGAGCCAGCTGTTCAGAAAATGGTGACTGGAAGTGCTTCCACAAATATCTAAAGAAATACTTTGGTGGGCAATGTGTATTTGTTTGATGTGGATTTGTCATTGAAAAAAAAAAAGAAGTTTGACAGACTACTACTTTTGAGATCTGCGTTTGGTATTCTTAAACCGGTGCTGAAGGGTACTTTAAGGATTCAAAAAAAGCTGCCCAAAGAATTTTCCTGCTTATTGTAGACTGCTTTTCAGATACAAAACAAAAAATCCAGTTGTTTCAGAAGTTTTGTTTTTTAGTGTGTACTTTACAATGAAACCCCAAGGTGCACCCTTTATACTGGATACACTGAGCAGTATGGGTTCTAAGGAGAGAACACAACAGAAGACACTTGCCTTTTTAAAGTGTACTTCCACTTTTCCAGCGAAATTGGGATAACACCTATTATATATTCATTACATGGTAACTTATATACAAAAAATGCTGCTTACATATTACTTGGAGGAGAGGGAAGAGAGAAAGAGAAAAAGAGAGAAAGAAACCTATTTAAGATGTAGAAGCATTGTATGTTAATGAGAGGAAACCCAACGTCCCTAGTTTTTCTATGGAGACAACCAGAGTTCCCCGTCACTTGGAAATTGTGAAAGGCCTGCTACACAGACATGACTAAAAAAAAAGGTAAGAATGTATTTTTCCAGTTTTCAGTATATAGTGTGACTAGGAACACATAAATATATAGATAGAGTGTGCGTGGGTCTCAAACCTGTCTGCAAAAGTGGAAATACATTTTAGGGATTAGTGTCAAGTGTTGGGGGGGTTAACTTTTCTACATGCTGGAGTTGTTCTTTAAGTGGAAACAAAAAGCATATTTTAAGTAAATTCCTATTGAGTTTTTGTGACATTTACCTAAAAGCTAAATTGTCATGTCTTTTACATATTTCCTATTCTATATTTGAATGCCTATTCCACAAAGACTTGAAGGTTGTCCTAATGTAATGGTTATGTGTACATCAGACAGCGTGTTCAGCCTCCTTGCAGAAAAAGAATGCATTTACAGTAATAGCAACACAGTCTTTGTCAGTCTGGCCAGGCAGATGGACCAGAACTGAGAGAGAGGGACAGTAAAGCACAATCACTGCATGATATTACTATGCAGTAAACAAACCCTGCAAATGTAAATCAGCAAATATGGCCGCTTCATCAATTTACAAATTATACATATAAAAAAACATAAATATATAGATAGAGTGTGTGTGGGTCTCAAACCTGTCTGCAAAAGTGGAAATACACTTTAAGGAATTAGTGTCAAGTGTTGGGGGGGTTAACTTTTCTACATGCTGGAGTTGTTCTTTAAGTGGAAACAAAAAGCATATTTTAAGTAAATTCCTATTGAGTTTTTGTGACATTTACCTAAAAGCTAAATTGTCATGTCTTTTACATATTTCCTATTCTATATTTGAATGCCTATTCCACAAAGACTTGAAGGTTGTCCTAATGTAATGGTTATGTGTACATCAGACAGCGTGTTCAGCCTCCTTGCAGAAAAAGAATGCATTTACAGTAATAGCAACACAGTCTTTGTCAGTCTGGCCAGGCAGATGGACCAGAACTGAGAGAGAGGGACAGTAAAGCACAATCACTGCATGATATTACTATGCAGTAAACAAACCCTGCAAATGTAAATCAGCAAATATGGCCGCTTCATCAATTTACAAATTATACATATAAAAAATGAGGGTGGGTTTTTTTTAAAACATTTGATGTATATATAAAAAAAAAAAAAAAAAAACATAAAATCCCCATAATCCTTTTAAAGTACTGTTCCCCGAGGGCATCAGCCAAAACCTGAACATTTCCGAGGCAACATAAAGGATATTCTAGAGCCTGTGCAAAGCTGACGTTTCAATACTATGCCTTACAATACTCAACTGCTGGAAAGGTGACTAAGCCAGGGATGGACAAATTAACGAAGAATTTGGGAGCCCGTTAGTCTAATCTAGGAATCACTAAGCAGTTTTAAAACATCAAGGGACTCATTTAAAAAATGTGTTTTAGCTGGAAAATTCAGGAAAAACAAAAAAAAAAAAAACCCCCCAAACACACAAACCACAGGCAGGACAGCAGCTGTAACTTACACGCTTATTGGCTACCTGGCTCCTGGGATATGTCCAGCCCCGAGTTAAACTTTTTGTCCTGCAGCATTTCTCCATAAATTGGCTCCCTGCAGTTAAATACATTAAAACCTCCATTTCTACAGACATGGCTTTTATTTGGTCCACGGTACTGAAACTGGGATGGATGAGGCATCACTTCTTTGCCAGGTTAGTGACGCCTAGTTATGAACTGACCATTTGCTAAAACAAGCTAATCTCCTTACATTCAGCTTGGATTCCAAACCATACACCATTTTCCTTCAGTAAACCCGTGCTATCTATTGGACAACCATAAAGGTCCATTATTGGCTCATCTTTGGCTAACACATCATCTACCTATGCATACAACTTATTAATCCAGCAGGATAGTACAGTGCAGTTTCATGTGGTGGTAAAGGGGGGTAAATGATCCACAATGCTGAACCACTGCTAAGTATTACACAGGTTCTTCTTATGTGAAGGTCTCAGACGCGCTCTTGTATAATCCAAAACACTTCACTTATGATCTCTCACAAGCAGTTCCTTTGTCCCTGAGCTTCGGCTCACCATCACCTTCCCCGATTCAGCGCACAAATCCCGAAGGCCAAGGTTTTAAGCTGCACTCTGGACACCATTCTCCATATACTAGTACTTGACAATTTGGAGAACGGGGCCCTTGTCTGGGAAGGCCTGCACAAGGACGATAAGCTTCAAGGTCACAGATTAGCTCCACCACTTCATCCACAGTGGTAAGCCGACTCGGGTGGGTTTCGTAGAGTTCATGGAAGGACGGTACAGTGTATTCTCTGACGACAATATGAAAGTAAAGTCCTGGTTGAATGTGAACAACTGTCTCTGCCATGGTTGAGGCTTTTGACCTCTGCACCAACTGCAAAGTGGGGCCTATGTTAGACAGGATCTCCCAGTGGGCCGGCAAGGGGATCTCCTTCAACTCCATCAACATTTCTTGCAGAACAGGGTCAAGGCTGTTTTTGGCGTTTAAGGAACCAAAGCTGAAGATCTGTGTAATCTGTGAAACAAAATTAAACCATGAAATTGATATGCAAGTACAGGGAGCACACCATAAACGACATTTTAAACTAGAGAGTTATAGTGGTTTTGAATATATTCCTCCACTGTTGTACAGGTAGCACACCATAAACGACATTTTAAAGTAGAGTTATAGTGGTTTTGAATATATTCAGTCTATTAATAGTTGGAAGTACAAAACATAAAGAGGGTGCAGTACAACTTTTATTTATTTAAACACTGGGACTGACTATGGAATTACAGCAAAGAGCCAACTGTTGAAAAATTTGAGAATGTACATTTGTGAACCCCTTGTTCATGGTGGCCTACCAGAGATAGCCATGAACACCCAAAATACTAAATTCCTTACCTAAGCCAACCTTGAAATTACATGTAAACCCATTTGCACATGGTTACATTTAATGCAAGTGCATAACGGCATTAAAAAAAATGGTCCTTATATCACATCTATGGAATTACTATAAATACCTAATTTTTTATACTTTGTACCTCTGCAGCTCACTGTTAATTATGTGGGTGGAGATATTTTCTGACACTGGACAACAAAAACAAAACAAATCTAGAACACAATAAAATAATACCTTGCTTGCTCTAACTGCCACACTGCATTACAAAAACACAATATTCCATATCATTATTTCAAAGCTTGGGGCACAGTTTGTGGACTGGCAGTGAGACGCTCCTAAATATGCAGGCTACAAGGTGTAACAGGAGCGCTCAGTTATCAAACAAAGCCTCACTGTCAATCTACCTAAACTCCACCCCCAGAATTGAAATTACCATAATGAATATTGTGTTTCTGTAATAAAAAATGTAGCATTTGCAGTAAGCAAGCAGTGCTTCCATACGCTTTTAGATGTATTATTCATATGTGATTTAGAGTACTTTTTCTCTTCAGTCACAAATGCAAGGAAAACAAGTGAAAGTAGCTGCCCCCAGAGATGTGCAGGAGTGTCATGCGGGGTCTCTAGCTGAGGAGCTAAGAGGAATTAGACGGCTTCCTAAACCCAAAAAATGGAGCATGCGCAGGCAGAGTAGCAACACAGAAGACTGTGGATCATCTGCTATAGCGTTGCCACTCAGAAGGAGATATAATGAACTGGCAGGGTCACCAAGTAATCACTGTGCAATATTTTTTTTTAATCAAAACCCTAAAAACACACAAGTTTAGGAAAATAGTCGGCGTCAATAAGGGAAAGACATTTTTTGGGTTCGCCGACACCTAATTTCTGTAATTTTTTTTTTTACATTTCTACATATATGTTTTCCCAACAACAAGAAAAAAAAAATCAGATTACTGAACTGGTGAAAACAATATTAATCTTGCTGGTGAAAAGCGAACTAGTATTCAATTAGATAGCCATGCTTTATGAAATCGAGGGGCTGATTGCAAACAAAGATCCGTCCTTTTTCTCCGTTTTAATCACTTTTCATTTTTCTTTCCACTCTTCTATTCCTGGCTGCTTCCCTTTAATCCCAAGTTGGTACCTCCCTATTAAACAATCACCAATGTATACTTCTATATTTTCACAGATCTACAAGACTTACTGTACGTATATTCAAGAGATTACTGTTCCTTAAAAGAGAACTATGGGGTAAGTGTTTTTCCCCATAGTTCTCTTAAGGGTCACAGGAGGACATATACTAGCGTCCTCCCGTGACCCAAAGCTCTGTATGTCGCGAGCTACCGCTTGCGATATACTGAGACTGCCGCAGCCGAGATGGATCCTGACATTACTGTCAAGATCTACCCAGCTGGGCAACTGACAGCTGGCTCTGCCCATCTAGAGGCAGAGCCAGCTGTACCCGCCCCTTCCCCTGTCCGTTCCTCCACTCAGCGCTGGAGGATCGGAGCGGGGAGGGGGTGGAAGCTCTCTGCAGGCACACTATCGAGAAGTGAGCGGCGGTATGCGTATGCTCACTTCCCAATCTATTGAGCCGATGTGCGACAGTTTCATTGTCACACGTCGGCTCAAACTATGAGGACGAGTGATTTTCACTCACCTCATCGTTCTCCTTTAACTTTAATGAATCCAAAATATATCTTATTTCGTCACTCTCTTCTGAATGTCAGATATAGCATTAACATTGATACTACTGATCTACTCAAATTGACCATCGCCAACTCTTTCACTGCATTTGTGGCCCCTGCTTAGCATCGACAACTCCAGATGGGCCCCAAGTTATCACTTCTTACTTTAGAAACATTGCAAAGGTTGTATATCCCATGCCTTGTATCAGTTTGTATTGCTTGTTTTTTTAACCTGTAATCTCAAACTTGTATTTGTGTGCAACACAAACTAGTAACACAAAAGGTATTTAAAACAAATAAGCCAACTCACCACTGGAGTGCTCTCATCAGCCGCCTCTATATCGTCGGTCTCTACAATAAACTCTTCCGATTTCACCGGGCAGTGAAGATCCTGTAACATTTGTGAGAAAGCAAGTTTTAAAAAGGTAAAAGAAGATTTTGTTAAAGCTGCAATTTGTGCGCTCATGCATCAAAAATACTGCCTACCAGAGGTTCCTCTTGTATTTCCTGAACGACTTCATTGCTCTCTTTGCACTCCTGTTTTATCGGTTTGGTCTCCACTTTGCCAATGATCCAGCCACCACCATCCTGCAACAAGAATATGTTAGAAAATCAATGACCAATCCCAACAGGGTGCAAATTCTGCAATTTAAGACCATGTTAGAGGATTTTATAATTTTTCTGAAGAGAAACATGGAAGCTGCAGACTTGCTCTTTGAAACTAGCCATGTATCAATGACAACAGTTTATTAAAAAAAGGATCTCTTGAACCACAAGACTTCTGCAAAAAAGAAAAAAAAACAAAAAAACAATCAGATCTGGAGACACTTCTGCCTGCTAAGCACTGTTCTGCAGACTAGGCAGCTGATGCAAAGGCCCTTTAGACGCCTATGGGACTAAAAGAGCAAAATGTACCAGCTTTAGCATTGGAAATAGTGCATAAAAAAGAAAGGTTGAGGGCAAAGAACTAACAAACTGTATTGCCTGTGGTCTTCCTGCAGCTGATCTTTTCCCCATTTACCATTCCTTGTTCTGCAGTTTGTGTGGGGGCGGCCATCTTGTTTGCACATACCTTTTTTTGCTCTGCAAGTATTTTTTTGTGCCCAAACAATACAGATCACTCACTTTACTTCTATCTTTCAATCTCTTGCACAATTATCTGCCTGAACTGACAGAAAGGGTCGTTTTGCAGTGCACACAGCACTCTTTTGGAACTCAGCTTGCCCACTGTTTAGGCAAAAAACTGGTAAGTAGTGAGAGTAAACCATCCTTATACAGAGTCTATGTCAGAGAGCATCATTTTCTTGCACAGAAAATTATTGGAATCCTAAAAGGATGGGGCACGCCAAACCTGGTCTATGCTAAAAACAGACATTGTTATATAGCACCTGGAGTCATTTTTATAAATATTACATTAAAAGATTTTTTTTTTTACATTTGTTTTCAAGCTGCGCTTTAAGTTCTAACTGATGTGTACCTTTACATGTGCTACTTACATTGGTTGCTGTGAAGCCTCCATTTTTGTAATCCAGCCGTTCGAGCTTTATAATCGGCAACCTAGGTGTAAGCTTCACATCCAGTTTTGGTTGCTAGAGGGCGACAGTGAAATAATAAACTACTGTAAGGAAAAAAAAAAAACTGAAGCTGTCCAACTGATTAAGAACAATTGTGGAGCTCAGGTCTTGCGACCATGAAACTGACCAATGTCTCCATCTTCTCGTCTTTTTCCGTCTCATCAGCAGCCAACTTCTCTCTCTGAAGCCGCTCGAGGATCACAGGGTGATTGCTAGACTTGAGATTCACAGGGATATATTTTTCCTAAAACATAAATTATGAAGGGTTTAAGCAAACTGCAAGCTGAGAGTTTCCATTACCCAAGGAAGAAAAAAAAAAAAAGCTTTTAAAATAGAGAAAAACTTTATTCACACAGAGTAAACCCCAAACCACAGTTGGCAAAAGAACTGAAAGTGTGTGGCGTGGAATGGTCAGCCATGAGGGATGCTGGGAGGCAGATCACATCCTAGAGGATTAGTCCCTGTTCTTAATATTCAGCAATTAAAAAAAAAACATTTTTACATTTGAAGTGCTGCATCTTGCAGGATTTAGGCTTTCATGCCATCTTCATGCTCCTTCGGTTGGCCGTTGGGCTGCCTATGCAATAGACCAGATAAGTAGCCCAATTGCCAGGCAGTGATTTAGTGTTTTCAGCCTGCCATGAGAAGTGCTATTACTGGCAGGTTCTCCAAGGTAAAAAAAAAAAAACTTTGCAAAAAAAAGACAAATAATTGTAGGTCCGATATTTTTTAAAACTGAAACTAGAAAAGTTTTTGGCCTGGCACTTTAAGAGAACTCTATACAGTTACTATTTTTGACAACACAGATGATTCACATCTGTGTGTTGTGGTACCATACTGTAGGTGTGTTTTTACTGTATATGTGCACTAAGGTGCAATTAAAAATGAATGGCAACTCACCATGGAAAAAAATGTTAACTTACATTATCGCAAATGCAATATGAATGTGAATTCAGCCTTACAACCAGACTTGGTGGACTAGAGCGGCATACCATATATGTATGCACTGTGCAACTTTGCTCTCATGCTTAGAAAAGCAGCACTTGAACCAACCCTTGCAAAGCGATCCCAGGTCCTTACAGCAGGCTACTCCAGATGTAGGTCTCCAAAAACCTGGGGCATATTAATATGCACACATCAAGCAGACCTACTAATATCACACTCTGGTCCACGTCCTCCAATGATTGTCTATTGTCCCATGAGTTTAACCTCTGTATTTAGTGGCTAGAAGAGGAAGGGGGCAGTCGAGAGAGAAACCATCAATATTATCCAGTGCCCAGCGCTAATACGCTACAATTCAATAAATATAGATTAAAAACAAATACATCAAAATAAAACTATAAACAATCAATCCAAAAGAAAAAAAGTTAATAAGTCCTCTTTAAAGTGCAAGAAACAAGTCTCTCAATGACAGCAATCAGTTTGAAAGAGTCTATAAGTGCATCCAGTGGTCCTTAAAGTGCAGACAACAAGTCTCTCCGCGTGCGACCCAAACAACTGTTTGTAATATCTGGCTGATGCTAACCTTTTACACCCGCTGGCAGCAACTCTGAGAAGCAAAAAGGAATTTTGTAAAAGCGGTCGCATCTCTGTTTATGAAGGTTTTTATCTTGTTTTAATAAATTACGCTATGGATGTTTTTAATATGTTATGAGCTTCTGGTGGTTATAAGAAGAGCGTGGATAGGGGAGGAGCAGGGTTCCGGTGGATGGATAACCATTAACACTTTGGCAGCTGGATGAGCATCTTTTTTCTATAATGGTCCGCCATATTTGGATTGATTGTTTAGTTTTATTTTGATCTATTTGTATTTGTTTTTCACCTATATTTATTGAATTGTAGAGTATTAGTGCTAGACACTGTAGAATATTGATATATGCGATAGTCTGTTTGCTCTTTTAGACAACTGCTGTGTCAAGTTTGTTAGGAAAGAATAGGAGCGGGGATCGGTATAATATAGAGAAACCATGACAACTTGAGACTCAGTTTTATATTAAAGTGTCCTGGCGATTTCCTCAAAGTAAACTTATGATGCTTTCTCCAAGGACCCCAGGTCACTTTAACAGGCAAGCAGACTGCACAGATTTCCCTTAAAAGACCCTTTTGAAAATCTCAAGGATTTAACGGAAAAAAGGATTTTATGGAAAAAAGTATACCAAATAATAGCCCTATATGTATAAAAAAATAGTTACTCTTAAAATTTATCTGAACATCTAGACTTCAATGGCCTCTGGTCATGAAAGGGTTACCCTAGAAAACCCACCGAGGCAAACCGCAGACATTGACGCCAGCGACACTTCTGCCTCTTAAGATTACGGCCGCCGAATTTGGGCTTGTCCTGGCAGAAGTCACAATCGCCACAGTCCAGTTTCCTTTGGCAGGCCTCACACGTGCCACATTTTCGGTTCTTGCGACGGCCTACCTTCTGCAGTGGAACATAGCGGGAGGGACAGTATTGATTAGGTGCTCTAAAAGCTTTCTCAGGCAGTTAATAGCATGGCACTTAATGCATAAGGAGCAAAAGGATCTCTAAGAAAAACAAACAAAAAAGAGGATAGGGTCATATCTGCAAGGTGAAAAGGGATTGGGAAAAGAAACACAAGATGTTTAGGGGATTCCTGAAGGCAGGAATGGCTCTGCAAGTAAAAGGATTACATGCATGAAAAGACTCTGCATGCAAGGGGACGCACAAGGGAAGCTTATAGGGAGAATGAGAAGATGCAAGCAACCCAAACGGCAAAATAAGCATCAGGCCTATACAACCGAAACTGAAATATCAAGTGGTGCAGATTTTATACCTAATTCCAGCCATCTCTCACTCTTCATTGAGCCCTATGCCTCGAGTTCCGCTTTAATACTGTGCTAAAGAGCACCACATTTAGCAAGCACTTAAGAGAGTTCAGGCTTTCTCAAAAGACTGCTTCATATTGTAGCATGCACTGCTGTTCCACTGTAGACCAATAAAAAGTAACGTTTGCGTTCCAGGTAAGTCTGGGACTAGCACAGGACTAAGTGCCCTCCACATGCCCCCAGGTGACAGCGATGAGGTTTGGTGACTGGCCGCTGTGGCACCTAGTACTGCAATGTGGAAGGAAGGGGAGAGAGACGCATGTTCCCCTGTGCCTAGAAGTACACTGTATTTCACATCACACTGGCAGGCAAAAGGAGGCAGTGGAAGAGAACAGAAACCATAAAATCGGTGTCGAAAAATGGGAGGAGCAAGCAATCTATAAATTGCGGGGTAAAGTAACTATCAATTACTTTACTCCGAAAGACAAAATAGAGAGGCTTTTAGCAAGCTTTAAACACTGCTTTAAAGAATGTCTAAACCCCAAATCAAGAAACGAATATACTGCAGCTTACCAATCCTTAGAGAAGGTGCCAGCATGCATTTTCGTTTTTTCAGGGCCCCTAATGCAATCACCATATCGAAGGATTGGTAAGCTGCAATAAATTGAATTTTTGCTTCTGGGTCTGCTTTAAAGCAGTGTTAAAGCTTGCTAAAAGCCTGCCGTTGGCTTTTATATCTGGGTTTAGATACACTAGGCGTCTACAAGTCTACTAAAGTGTGGTTTATGGGCTTTACGCTTTCTAAATACTTTGTAAAAGGCTTGCTAACACTCTTTAGTCTACTGTTTACAAGCCAATGCACTTCACTTTCTTCCAGAAAATGTGAGTTTAATGGGACTTGTCCTTAGAATGCACAGGAGCCCTCAGCAAGTGAGAACAGGGAGTAAAAACATTTAACAGGACAGGTGTGGGATGGCATGCATAAAACACTTTACGGCAAAGAAAAAAAGAACACATACAGCACACAGGAGGATAGGAAGCATGCAAGCAAACCAAACACATAGAAAGGCTCTACATATGGAAACAGAATATGATGCCTAACAAGCAAACGCAAGCTTTGTCAAATACAAGGCAAGGTTCTGCAGATGGTAAAACACATGGACTAAATATGGCAGATGCAGAACATGGACAGAGATTTAGTAATGCAGTAAGGACAATGAAAACTCAGTAACTATGATCTAAATAGTAAGCACTAACCATGATAACCCTACAAAAATAATAGGATATTCATTTCTGATAGATGATACAAAGAACACCAAAAAAATACAACTAGCATAAAAAGCCAAATAAAAACAGCAGCAGGATAGGCTAAAGAACAGCAAAGGTCTCCCAACAAGTGACCGTCAAACATCAAACCACTGACCTTGGGTTTCTTCTTTTCAGTTTTTCCCTTCACTTTCTTATAATAGGACTTCTTCTACGATTAGGAAAAGAGAAAAATGGCACAAACCACAGTTAGAGACACTTTCACCTCACCCAAGTAGTGCTAGAAGATGGTGCCTTAGTAAAAGGTCCACTACGCTAGGTATATTCCCTTACCAGCCCTACATCACAGCTTCTGCCTCTGCTGCAGTCAGCACTAAAATCCAATAATGGTCACGGGGGAGGAAGGCACATTTTCCTCCTTGGCTGAAGTATATGGTATTGTCACCGGCTGAGATGGAGGCAGGAGTGGAGAGGGGGAGTGCTGGTAAGGCAGTGTAACTAGTGCAGGGGTGCCCTTCACAAAAGGCACTGTCAATTTTGTCCTGAATGGGCAGGGCGAAAGTATCTATAAGCTAGCTAGACACAGAGATCCACAATACTCAAGCATGCAGTTCAGAAGCGAAACAGAGCAAGGCTATCCAATTCCATTGTTGAGGGCCACATTGCTTCCAATGGCAAAGTGTATCAAAGTGGATTTTTATTAGATCGCACTGAAATAAAAGGTTTTCTACTTTCATACGAGTCCCACCAATCAGCTATTTGCAATATTCTCCAAACTTCCTGGAGAACTTCGAGGGATGCCACTTTTTTTCTTTTAAGGATAATTTCATAAATGTAATTAAAACTTATACATAATTATAAGCCTCATACTAGGATGAAATATTTCACAGGGCTTCTTCCACTCACTCCCATTGGTGACTATGCTGTAGGAGTTGCATCGAATCCGTTTTGTCCTGCATGGCCAATGCACAGGTTCCCTTAAAAGTAAAGTTGTCACATTAGATGTAAAGCTACTTTCAAAACTGCAAGCTCAAGAGCTGCCAAGACTGGGTGAACCAACAACCCACACCAAGCAGGAGGTCAAGTGTTCTGGTGGTCAGTGACTAAGTAGTGAGTCTGAAGGAAAATAAAACTGCTGTATATGCAACTTCTAAAAGCAAGTGGGGACTACATTATTCATACACCACATGACACTTGCATGCCAGGAAACTTTGGCTTGTAAAAAAAAAAAAGATGATGCAGGTCTTCTTTAAGAATTCTGCTGATAGGGATGATTTCAGGACACTAACTACTTAATGGGATTTCCACTTCTGAGCTTAAACCAAAATCCCCTTTCAGAAACAATGAGTCCACTTGAAAAAGTATGCCCAAAATACCTTGATCTGTGGCCTTCAAAGATTGGAGATGGACAGCAGACAGACAAATGGCCCTAGAAAGGGTCTAGACAAAAGCTGTACACACTGGTCTAGGATTGTGATGCAGTAAAAGGGTATCCAAAAGGAAAGCAGGCAATATACAAAGAAGTTTCACTTACCTTATGCTTAACTGGAAGACTGCTCCCATCACGTTCTGACATTAATCTCCATTTCTATAACAAAAAGGAAAGAATGTTGGGAGGTGGGATGTTAAAAACAGCCATAACATATAACATTATGACCGCCTGCCTAATATTGAGTAGGTCCCCCTTTTGCCACCAAAACATCCCCGACCTGGTGAGGCATGGACCCCATTAGACCTCTGAAGATATTCTGTGGTATCTAGCACCAAGCCGTCAGTAGCAGATCCTTTAAGTCCTGTAAATTGTGAGGTGGGCCCTCCGTGGGTCAGACTTGTTTTACCAGCACATCCTACTACTACTTGATTGGATTGAGATCTGGAGAATTTGGAGGCCAAGTCAAAACCCTGAACTCATTGTTGTGTTCCTCAAACCATACTTGAACCATTTTAGCAGTGTGGCAGGGCACATTTTCCTGCTGAAAGAGGCCACTGCCATCAGGGAATACTTGTTCCATGAAGTGGTGCACTTGGCCAGCAACAATGTTTAGGTAGGGGTTATGTGTCAAAGTAACATCCACATGAATGGCAGAACCAAGGGTTTCCCAGCAGAACATAGCCCAAAGCACCAAACTGCCTCCGCCAGCTTGCCTTCTGCACACAGTGCATCCTGGTGCTATCTCGTCCCCAGGTAAGAGGCACACATGCAACCAGCCATCCACATGATGTAAAAGAAAAAATGCCAATCATCAGACCAGGCCACCTTCTTCCATTGCTCCGTGGTCCAGTTCCGATGCCCTTGTAGGCACCTTTGGCATTGGACACGGGTCAGATCCATGCGCAACAAACGGTGATGCACTGTGTGTTCAGACACATTTCTACTGGAACAAGCATTCACTTGAGAAATCTGAGCTACAGTAGCTCTTCTATTGGATCGGACTGCATGGTCCAGCCTTCACTCCCCATCGAAGAACCTTGGCCGCCCATAACCCTGTTGCCAGTTCAGCGGCTTTCCTTCAGCGGCACTTCACCACTTCAGACCGGGAACATCCCACAAAAGATGCAGTTTTGGAGCTGTCCTGACCTACTCGTCTAGCCATCACAATTTGTCCCTTGTCAAAGTCGCTGAAATCCGTAAGCGTGCCCATTTTTTCTGCTTTCAAACAGATCAACGTCCGAGACAAAATGTTCACTTTCTGCCTAATATACTCCACCCACTTACAGGTGCTATTGTAATGAGATAATCAATGTTAAGTACTTCACCTCTCAGTGCTCATAATGTTATGGCTGATGTATATATTATTTTAGAAGACTGGAAGGCTGCCAAGTCCCTGCTACCAGAAAAGTAAATAAGCTGAGAGCAGTTGTGATTTCAGCGAATTTGTTGTGAACATGAATTTCTCTACAATTCCTACAGCTAGAGGTTAGTAAAGACTTGTTTTAAAGCTGAAATCCAGTAAGAAGTGTTATTAGACAAGTAAACCTTTTTAAGAATTGCTTCATGCTCGAACCACAGACTTCTTTGATACAGGGAAAGCCCTCTGTACCCTTATCGTCTGCCCATCATAAAAATAAGGGCGGACGCTTCCCGGCAGGTGGACGTACAAGTAGGTGATTTTTTTTTCTGTGCGCACGGGCAGAATTCCGCCAGGAAGGTAAACAGCGGTTACCAGCTGTTTCATACAACAGTCGGAGTGAGAGCAATAATTCTAGGGCCATCAATCACTGATAACACTAAACTGACGCGCAATAAAAGCTGTTAAAGCATCGCCTATGGTCAATTTTAGGTATGGTCGTTTTTTGCGATTTCACAGGCACACGCAATTTTAAAGCTAAAAAGTGTCTATCTACCCGACGTGACCCCATCTTTTATATTTTATTAAAAAATTGAGTAATAAAAAGGTTTTATAACAAAACGCAGGGGGGAAAATATTTTTTTTTTCTAAATTTTCATTATATAGTAAAAAATAAAAACCCCAGTGGTGATTAAATACCACCAAAAGAAAGCTTCATGCGTCCCTAAAAAAATGGTATAAAATTCATTTCAGTACAGCGTTGTATGACGGAATAAATGTCAAAGTACTGCAGCACTGAATACTGAAAAATGGCCTGGCCAGGAAGGGGGTCTAAACACCCCAGTCAGCAAGTGGTTAATATTCAGATTATAAGACTGGTGGACGCTATGCCTCTGCTATCCCCCAACACAAAACTATACAAGTGGTTTTGCTTTACTGAAGCAACAGAACTATTAAAATACTACGGGCGGACGGCAAGAGGTTAAAGTGCTTTCAGTGCTTGCCCAGAATATGTAAATATTCATAGTTGGGACACATGTTCACTTTAAGCATTTTTCATTAAAATATGTGTTTAAATTATTGTCCTTATATAATTCATTAAACAATGTAAATGTACTTTTTACAAACTGCTATAATAAAAGATTTTACCCCTGATAGAGTTTTTTTGGTTTCATTGCTGGTGATGCTTATATCTTGTAATATGATCTGTATTCCTATTGTATTTCCCAATAATGCTGTACTTTTAAAAACTTATCAATTCCTATCGAGCACTGCACAATATTTGTTGATATCTTCCTGTAATTTGTCACTCAATGACATTACATTGATGTTTAGATACATCTCTCTAAATGTTGCCAATACAAGGTATATTTGTTCTATTGTAGCCCTGATTAAGGGAGGCGTTCAGACCTCTAAAACACAATGGGGGGGATTTATAAAAACTGGAGCAGCTGTGCATGGCAACCAATCAGCTTCTCTGTTCCATTTTCAAATCCTAACTGAACTGAAGAGACACCGATTGGTTGCCGATTGGTTGCCAACTGCTCCAGATTTAGATAAATTCCCACAATGGATTTATAGTAGATACTGTAAATAATTATATCAGGAGTTCTATACTTGTCCAGCACACTCCTTCCTGTATTTTGATATGTGGATCCCAGGGCCTTGTAGAGATCGTACTCACTCCGTCAGTGATCTCAGGAGTGGAGGAAGGTCTCCTCCCCACCCCACCCTCCGCCCAAAAAAGATGGCAGAGGAGCTGAACCTTCCTCACGGTACCAAATGTATTTGAGTACAAAATGTTGTCCAGAGTTCCACTCTTTACTGCCTTTCTGCAGTTAGTTTGTCCAATCCATTGTAAGTCCCAAGACACTTACTGTTTTTAATTTTTTGGCGCCAAAATCCTTCATTACAGATAATTTGGACTCCGATTTCTGCAAAACACAAAAATAGGAAAAGTTACCATAAATAATAAGCAGTTCTTTAAAATGAGACTTTAAATGTATGAAATTAAGGCTTGACATTCTACCTGATGGCCTAGCCAATTCTATTTTGACACATGACTTATTGATTGTTGTGTGACCTCTAATTTTAAAATGCACTTATCCTATTCACAAGGGACCAGGCTACAATACTTAATACCATTAGACCCCGTTCACACCGAGCGGTTTACCACGCGATTACCGCTCCAAATTCACGCATATTTCCACGCAATGTTGCTCAATGTAGCTTGTCCAATGTATTTCAATGGAGCTGTTCACATGTCAACTCAAAGTCGCCTGTAGCTCGTCGCTCAAGCTTGTAGCTCGAACATGACCTATTTTTCGGCAGATGTCACGCGATTTGGCCCGGCGATATTAGACGACTTTGTCGCGCAATATTGCGCTACAGAAGGGTCACTTTTGCATAGCAATATGGAAGAATAGAAGGTCACATCAAGACCGCTGTCGATTGGTTAGAGCCCAATGTAGCAGCGACAAAGTCCCTCCCAAAAGTCGCACTACGCAGCGCGACAAAATGTGCACCGTCGCTCAATATCCCGCAATGCCGCTCAGCGGGAAAACGCGCGATTCTCCATGTCGCTCAGTGTGAATGGGTTCTTAAAAATTGCTATCAGGAAAAGGACAGTTACCGACAGACCCCATTTCATCCCTCTCCTCTGCAATGAGCTTCTAAAAGATGGCCACCGTGAGGACAAGGGGGCCTACTGTCCCAAGATTAAACTACTAGTTTGTATACATTACAGATTAGAAAATAGAAAAAGATTGGAGGGGGGTGTAAAGTTCCAAATGTATCCCCCAAGCCTCACCGTCACTTTTTTTTGGCATCTACGTTTCACACACTTCCTATTGATCTCCAGCTCTGGGTTCTGTTGCCTCTTTAAACACACAAAACAAGTTTCACAGTCCTCTGTTGCAGTGCAGCCCTGACACTCTCCACAGTCACCTGGCTGTGTATGAAGAATAGAATGAAAACAATTACTGTTTGCAACATATGACATACACCAAAGCTGTAAAGAAATGATGTGAAGCAGAAGTGTAGTGTAGATACTCTACTAAAATAACTCCAGATATTTTTGAGACATGCTTGTGTTAAAATAACTGTTGAATATCAAGATGCAAATTAACCCCTTCATGACTGAGGCCCTTTTTTCCATTTTTGCACCCATGTTATATTCCACATTTTAGGCCACACAACTGAGGAAGAAAAATAAAAAACACAACAGGAAATTAGGAGAGCTGCACTGTTTACCATGAAGGCTCTTGTCAAAAGATGACCAATACCTATTCGAAGAGACAACCTTAGATAAACTATAAATCTTCAGGAGAATGGAAAATAGGATTTTTGTACTTACCATAAAATTATTTTATTAGGAGTCCAGTCAGGGAAACAAGAATTCAGATACTCTCTAGTTATAACCAGTAGCAAAAAAAATTAATAAAATAAAATCAAAGGCCAGCCAGGTAAACCTTCTCTTCCCAACATGCCTCAGTTTTGTAGGAGTAACAAGAGCATGATCATAAACACAGAGGGGTGGAACCAATGTCCTGCAATGGACTCCAAAAAAAAAAAAATGTTACGGGGAGTACAAAAAAACCCAATTCTCTTTTTTCCCCATTGAGGGATACTGGGATTCAGATCAGTCCTACCTAGGGATGAGCAACAGCAAATAACCCCGAAAAAACAAACAAAACTGGGGACTGCCAGCAATTCAAAGAGCCACATGAAGGATCTTCTACCCAAAGCGGCATCAGTAGAGGCCCGAACATCCTCCTGGTTGAACAGAAAACATGAACACAAAAGACCAGTTGGCAGCATGGCAAATCGGCGAACAGAGGCCTGAGTCAAAAAGTCCATAGGCTTAGATAATAGTCTCCTGAGCCACCAACAAGTGGAGACACAAGAAGATAGTTCACCCTAAGGCCTCATTCACACTGATGAGAGCTGGCCCGTACAGATCCGTGCAGCATGCACGGCCATATCGCACCACTCCCGGGGAGGACAGGTGCTGCGTGTGATTTGTATGCATCAGCCTGTTCTTCTCTATGGGAGTACGCGGCCGTACGCTCACCCAAACTGCACATCCCTGCAGGTGTCTGTGCTCGGACACAGACAGGTGAGCGTATGGCTGCGTACCCCCATAGAGAACAGGCTGCTGTGTACAAATCACACATAGCTCCCTGTCCTTCCCAGGAACAGCCCGATACGGCTGTGTACAGGCAGTGTAAATGAGACCTTACAGGGAACATCTGGTATGATAAAGTCTGTCTTTATGAAGCAAGCTGTGACCGAGAGATCTCACAGCCCGAACTACATCTGAGCAATGGAGGGGAGGAGCTAGAGCTGGGCAAAGAAACCTGAAAACCATGTCCTGGTTGAAGTGAAAGGCAGAAACAACCTTTGGTTAGAAGACATTCTGTGCCTCAAACGCACCTTGCCCCTGTGTAAGCCAGAAAGGGTTCTTTACAGGAAAAACTGACAGCTCAGACACTCTCCTCACAGAGGTAGTGGCAACAAGAGACACCACCTTAGTAAGACTGGAAAGAGGAATACCTCTAATCGGTTTAAAGGGTGGAAGAGCTGAGAATCAAGTTTAATTCCCAGGGAGTCACAAGGGAGTGAACAGGGCAATCCACATGGAAGACACCCTGAATAAAAAGGTCTTACTCAATGAACAGGAAGCCAGTCTCTGAAACAAGATGGCAAGAGCAGAGACCTGTCCCTTGATGGTGCTGAACTACCTGGTCCTCAGTGCCAGATGAACACGTCTGTCCAGGAATGGAAATTACTTATCCCATAGGAGCAGAATATTGAGTTGTAGGGGTCTGGAGCAAAACTGGGCAAATGGGACTGCCTCAAAAGGAAGCCACCACCAGCCCCAGGAATCTCATGCAAAAGTAAAAAGTTGGGCAACTCATGAACTGAAGGTTACAATTGGAGTGGAGCGTTTGAAGTTTCTCCTGAGTTAAGATAAATTCTGGCTTGAGCTGTAGCCTGTATTAGACCTAGATATTGCAAACGAAGAGTTAGTTTCAGACCAGACTTATGAAGGATAAGGCTCCAATCGAACCTCTGAAGGATTTGGATGATCAGGGCCATGTTGTTCGCCAGAACACATGTCCATCATTCCCACAGCAAGAGGTACTCCAGATATCTCACAATGTGAATGCCCAGAGAGCATAGAAAGCTAGTACTGAGGTCAGAAGCTTGGTTAATACATGAGGTGCTGAGGATAAATGGAATCGCAGGGCCACAAATTGGAAGTGTAGAGGACCAACAGCAAAAAGTGAGAAAATTGCTGATGTGCTGGAAAGATAGGGATATGCAGGTACGCATCCCTGACATCCAGAGGCCAGAAAGTGTCCCTGACTAAGTGAGGCTATTTCAGACCTGATGGATTCCATTGAGAATTTCTGGGCCCAAATGAAAACAGAGCTTTAAAAGGTCCAACATAGGTCAAATGCCCCTTTGGGCTTGGGAACTGAACAGGCTGGAGACCAACCCCTGAAAACTGTTCTGCCACAGGAACTTGGGCAATGACACTTTGTTTTAGGATGCCTTGTCCATGTAGATTAAGCACTTTTATTGACACAGGTTTTGAAGACCAACACTTTAGCCAAAACATCCTTCTTGTAGTCACTGACCGGAGATTGATGGAGACTTCAAACAACCCATCTATGCTGTAGCTTAAGGCTGCAGATATTAGCTGTAAATACTCAATGACCAAGGGATCAACTGCATAGTGATCAAATATCTTCTAATAGCCAGTTAGGGATTGACAGATTAAGAGTATGGCTAAAAACAGGTTGCAGAGCAGGAGCTGCCAGAGAAAACAAACCTCTAGAGCAGATCTCCAGCCAATTGACAGTGGGGTCTTTAACAATAGATGCATCCTCCATAGGGATGGTAGACACTTTAACCCTTTCGCTGCCAAGGACGTACGGTGTACGGAGCTACAAAAGTGCTTCCAGCTGGCCAGCTCAGTATGCCGTACGGACCTGGCATTTACAGTTCTACTATAAGCTGATGGTCGCTTTAGCGACCATCAGCTTATAGTAGAACTGTTCAGCAGACTGTCCCCTTTAAATTAATAGCTGTCATCAGCGGCTCACAAGCGGCTGATGACCGCTATTTTAAAAAATACCGGGTGCCCCCCGCCGGCACCGCCGCCGGCATCTGGAGTCTCTCATCCATTTAGATTTACTCAGAAAATAATTTTTTTTGTGCACGGATAGGAATTTTGGTGTGTTTTAACAATTGAATTGTGTATTTTTTTCGGTTCAATATTAATTTGAGAAACATTTGCGCAATTATCGCAGGGCCTACAAATTTAGTATCACCATCTTTTTATTCTACCGGGCCTGCGCTTTCAGAAAATATATGGTTTGGGGGGGTCTTTTACAAACGCTAGCAACGCAGCAGTTGAAAATCAAATCAATAGGAAAAAATTGCAGAAAATTCAAAAATGGCTTGGCCAGCTGATTTGAAAAATGTTCCGGAGGGCTTGGCAGCGAAAGGGTTAAAATAGGATGTTGGCAGAACAGAAGAGGCAGCCTACTTTTTAACAAAGTCCTCCTCAAATGACTGATGGGAGGTACAAACATCTTGTTAAGGTGCTTTCAGTCTCCCAAAGAAGACTGCAAACAGTGGGTGGACCATGAAGGTATTAGTGGTCATAGATGTTTTAAAGGATCTTAGACTGCAGGCAGCAAAGGTAGAAGTGAGTAGCTGATCCCCATGTTTCAAAAGTAGTGCGCTGCATTAATAAGTAGAGCTGCAGCTAACGATTATTTTCAAAATCGGTTAGCCGATTATTAAAGTTTGATTAATCGGTTAATCGGATAAACAATAAAATAAAGTTGTTGCAGCCCTATTAATAAGAGCAGACACAATGTCTTAATTTGGGGATAACTACAGAACATTGTGATGCCGCAGAAGGTTTGTCTGTCAAAGACTGGAGATAGATAGCATGGACAATCTTACTGGATGATGGCTCTGAGGCTGCTAAAGCTTTAGAGAGATCAGAGAACGATGAAAAGAGATGTTGCACCACAAGGCAGGATAAAGTAGCTTAAGGTATGAGGCAAAGCCTTAGGTACAAAAAACCCAGCTGTCTGCAAGTTGGCATAGGGTCCGGCAGCAAAGATTACCAAGTCACTGTAGGCAGTAAGCACGAACTGAGTTTCCAAGTTCCACATGGCTCTTGCAAGCAGGAGGTGCTTCTTCAATGCCAACTGACGGGAAAGAGTGCGAAGAACATGCGCTTCACTCCACACAGAACTTAATCCTTAGGCATGAATCCCTTCTATGATGAAACTGATGGGGGGGGGAAAAAAAAGGGAAATTGGAAGGTACTCAGCAGTCAAAATAACGAGGTAGCTCTCGATGCTCAGCCCAAACAGCCTACTCATAAAAGTGGGTCTTCAGAGACAGTGCAAGTGCTGAGGCAAGGGCAAAGCCAAGGTTTTGGACCTGGAAAGCAATCTACGACTAACTTTTACCAGTACTCGACATTTGAAAAGTGCCAAAAGTGGAAACTAGTGCTGAAGGTCACATTACAGGTTAGCCCTGCAACATCTAGCCCAGCAGGGTATGGCATTGCAAAAATTAGGGCATGCTGGGAAGAGGTGTTTTCTGGATGGCCTATGGATTTTTGATTGCCTGCATCCAAATCCTCCTGGAGGCAGCAGTATAACAGTATCTGAATTCATGTGTCCCTCAATGGACAAGAAAGAAACCAATAAAAATTCCTGGGAATGCTTAGCACCAGTGATGAGGGAACATGTTGCTCTTATACTGGTCACAAAAACAAAGTTAGATTTGTTACACCTAAAAATAAGTCTACTTTCCATTATATGCAGAAAATGTTCATACAATATTGCCACACAGAATTTGTGTACTTCATACAACACAATCCATTTTTTTAATGGGTGTGAACCAAACGTGATTCTAAATTTATCAGATTGTACAATCCAAAAGTAACGTGAGCTGCCACTTCAAAAGGATCTGCTGCAACGGTACCTTTTGGATAGCCTTCTGACAGCGCCTTTTCATGCATTTCCAGGAGCTTCCGAATTCAGGGTTGTGGGAACGGAGGAGACATATCGAACAATAACCACAGTTCTCTGTCAAACTGCATGCAGCACATTTACCACAGCCGATGCTCTGAAGTTAGGAAGGAGATAATAACAGGATTTCCCACCTGTATAATTTACCAATTTCACATACTACAAAACATTCTATGAAACTCCTGTTTTGTTGAAGAAACCCTCCAAGTGAACTCTACACATTAGAAATTTATGTAGGCCTTATCTTGAGCTCTCTCAAAAAGTAGGAGACTCTGCTTTGATTATCACCTGAGCAATCAGCGTGGTAATAAGAAAAAGCACAGCTGCAAGATACCAACATGAAAGTCATATAGGAAGCCAGAGGCATAAAGGACAAAGAAAAAAAAGAAGGTAAGTGCGAAGGCTGCAGAACATCAAGCACAGAATGCAAAGCAGACCTATGGAGGAAACAAAACTCAGTCCCAACACAAGGCTCCGTGTAGCCAAAGGCAATAGCAGTTCCTATATTGGTATCCTCACAAGTAAGAGTGTCAGTACAAGTTGTTGGTATTGGATGGCTATTTGATAGCAGAGTTCATGATGGTTTGATAAACATTAAAACAAAGGGCTGTTCACACTAGCCCATCTGCTAAAACGTTGTTTTAGCGGACAGGCTAGTGCGTTGTGGCGGCTCTGTCAGGGTGCGTTGTATCACACATGGTCAGGATTGTCCCTGATTACACTTTATCTTCTTTTTGAACTTTATGTGGAGTGTATGTGTACACTCCATTCAGGTACACAGCCATGTGGCAATCTGCAGAAGAGCATGCTGCCCATCACACCCATGTGGTGGTATGAATGGGGCAAAAACAATTGTCATCTATGTGTCCTTGCAGTGACCTGCGCTGTACCGCACCATCACTGCAATATATGTGAATGGGACACCTAAAAAAACAATGGTCTTCTATGTGTCCTTGCAGTGACCTGCGCTGTACCGTGCCATCACTGCAATATGTGTGAATGGGACACCTAAAAAACAACGGTCTTCTATGTGTCCTACCGCGCCATCACTGCAATGTGTGTGAATGGGACACCTAAAAAACAATGGTCTTCTATGTGTCCTTGTAGTGACCTGCTTTGTACCGTGCCATCTCTGCAATATGTGTGAATGGGACACCTAAAATACAATGGTCTTCTATATGTCCTTGCAGTGACCTGCGCTGTACCGTGCCATCACTGCAATGTGTGTGAATGGGCCCTGAGAGGCTGAAAAATAGAAAATAGAAACAAGCTCACAGTTGCAGTAGCTTGAAGGCCTGAAGGTAGCAGACACATTCATAGAGCTTGCAGAGGTAAAGTTCAGCACTCACTGTATACTATATTAAATTAATATATTTATTATTACAGGACAATAATATTTGCCAGCACTATTGTAGCACTATTCAAACCTATCATTGTACTCCTATAAATGAAGAAATTCTATAGTGTATAAGATATTTTTATCTTTTATATTGGCTGTAAAAGGGAAGTTTGGAATAACACGCAGCCAATGTTACATGCGTAGCCGATTCCCAATTTGCAGAGTTCTGTTTGTTTAACAACTTTAACTAACGTCAGAGCAATGGACAGATGCAGTGGTCCTTTGAGTCCAGACTAAACAGTGCTCTCTTAGGATCAAGGCTCAATTACATACGAGTTCCCCAGTAAACATGATGCCAACCCTACAGGAGGCAGAGAACGATGCAGGACAAGAGGACCCAGAGGTGGCTTTAATATAAAAAAGGGAGCCACAGTCAGTCAAAATTGTTATTCAACCATTTTACCAAATTAGAGAAATTTTGTAGAAAACTTTTGACCCTTTGAGATTCTCTTAGTCCAATTTCTTTACCAGCCAATTGCTAAAGCAGTTAAAATTGAAATGATCACCCATAACCTCTGCCTAAAACACAGCACAATGGTTCTGAATGAATGCAGCATTTTCAGAGACTGAGTGGACTACGCAACCATTGGCTTTGCATTTAGATGGGTTGACCGCCAACAACACTGCAAGACCAGTGATGGACCTGGGGCACCAAATACCCCCTAACACATATTTCACTACATAGAGACTCACCTTCAGCCGCTTCTGTTCCTTGTTAAATGCTCTTCGAGAAGCTGAGAATAAAGATGATAAAAACCTTTATCTCACATTACATGGCAATTGTCATGTGACTGTGGCGAGTTGATTTGCAGTTGTGTTACAGCTCTTAAAAGGTTCCGGGCTATTTCAAAATAAATTTAGTTGTTGGTAATTGTTTTAACAAAATGCTCCCCAAATGTCAATCAAGGGGTTCCGATCCTGAGAGGCTTGCCATCAGCACTAAATATTTAGCTGATCTCCATCAACTCCTTTATTTCTTTATCTTTGGCTAATAGGTTTTGGATAGAGCTTTATAAGCTACATGGGAAGAAAAGGAGATATTGCAAAAGAAAAAAAAAGTGTCGTCTTGGAGACAAGAGTCACGGAGAAGGCAGCCAACTGAGCAGACTCATCCAACTGGAGTCAAATGAGTTTACATGCAACCTGTTCATATTAAGTCTACTTTTACTATTAGAGCTAATGTTAACAACCTGTAAATGTTTTTGTTTTTTTTAAAAGGAACAACTTTTGATCTATGCAACCCCCTTCCCTATTATGCTTTAACTCTCTCTCTGGGGAGAGAATAGTGAACAGCTGAGGCAGATAATAAACCAAAAGGGGGGGGGGAACAACTGTAGAAAACAATTGAGGTGCCAAGTATTGGAGAGACTAATTAATGAATGCAAGTGTGTGTACACAAGCTAGAAACAATAAAAAAAAAATGGAAAAGCGTACTACCCGGAGTAACCACTTCTAGAGATGTGGGCATCAAAGGGTTAAAAGACAGTGTGCAAGCTCTATGGACAACAGGGTGAGGAGCCCTGTATAGAGTCACCTACTCACCCCACTGTCATCTCACCCTATATCCTGGCCAAATACTACGTTGTGCATAGCTTGAGCTCTGTGACAGCTGCCTGTCTCTGTGGTTTGGGTGAGCACAACTTTTTATTTCAGCACCTTGATGAAAATGAACGGTTAACCCTTGAAGTACAGGGGTAGCCCCAACTGCAAGGGTTAATAAAAGGTTTTATCTGAAGTTCTTTAAAAAAAAAAAATCAGAAAGGAAACAGTGAAGGTAGCGAACATACAAAACAGAATTGATTTGTTTTTTCCAGTGCAAGGTTGAAGACGGAAAGAATCTCAGTGGCAGTTACAGAACAAAACAAAAATAAAATCCACCATCAAAGAACATTGCTCTTATTTTTGTTAAAAGTGACTTACCGCGACAGTCAGCACAGTACCAAACGGTTTGCTTTGAACGGCCGAACTCGACTCCAGAGTACCAAACCTTGCACTTAGTGCAGCACCTAGAAGAGAAGTGCGATTAAGGATTCCCTTTCTTTGCACTTGTCAATTCATGTGATTAGACAGCAATGTCATGCAAGTGAAACACTAATGGCTGGGGATGCGCCGATACAGGTTTTACGGTATAGAGTACAGATATTTTTCTGTCAGTACTCGCCGATACCAAATACCGTTACCGGAAGTTGCATTAAAGAAGCCGGGCGGGGTGTAATGGCTCGTCCGCTTGGCTTCCTGTTTAGCCGGGAAGCAGGCTCCATGCTCCCTCATCACCAGGTGACGAGGAAGCATGGAGCAAGCTTTCTGGACAGCCAGGAAGCTGGAGGCGGATAATGACTCGCCGCCCGGCTTCCAGATTGGCCAGGTTCTCAACCAATCAATCAGAAAGCTGGCTCCATGCTCCCTCGTCACCAAGTGACGAGGGAGCATGGAGATGGTTTCCTGATACCGGAAGTTCCCTTATCTGGAGCATTTAAATCGAGTACGAGTACTCGCCCAATTTCTCAGTATCTGTACATCCCTACTAATGGTCATTTTAAGATTTAGGGGACATAGACGATTTAGTTTAGACACATTTGCTTACACTGTGAATAATTGCACTGTGCATTCACAACCTAAAAGTATTGAGGAAATGGAGGTGGAAGCACTTTGTCTATACGGTCAAACATTTTGCAGTATCTATTTTTTTCTACACACATTGCATTATTTTTCTCATCATGCAGCCAAACTTGCAGACCCTTCATATGCACTTCTGAAAGAGACTGCAGCATCAATACCACCTCCCTCTAATCTATCAATGTATATTTAAAAAAATGCAGATGGCTTTATAGAGGGTGTTTCTGAAACCAAGTAACATACTGGTCTGCCATTTTACAGGCCTTGTTTATAATAATGCCAATTAAAAGATGACGGTGCAGGGAACTATAAGGATTTAGTCAGCAGGACATTTGTATATTTTATTATTATGATCGGAGCTAAGAAAAAAGGTATAGGTTTCTTTTTAGCCAGATAAACTCGAAATATTACAAATAAACATCTCATGACCAACCAGCCTATTTGACAGCCCTGCTGTGAAACACTGCTAAATGGTAGGAGAGATCAGAATATACAAAACCTCAAAGAAGGAGCATGTGCCTTCCTTTTTTCTAGTAAGACTGGTTTAATCAGCTATGTACAGGCGGACAAGCAGTATACAAGCACTAACATGCACTTGTTACACCGTGCACTTGTTTTATAGAATGGTTTAGATTTTTTCTTTTAAAACATTTATACAAATCTGATATTGCAGATGTGCAGGAGAACCTGGAGTGATAACTACTTGACAATATTTAGCATTTGACTGTATTGTTGAAATCTCTGCAAATATGCTGCGGCCATTATGAGGGACTTCCATTATTCCTGCTGGAGTTTTATCTGTTTTATGTTGTGGAAAATGTAACAGGTTGAGCTGAAATACCCAAATGGCATCAAAAACACCCAAAACTCCAAGGTGGACAAGCAACGGAGTTGAGAAGTATGGGAGATTACTGGAGTATTAAAGAAACAAGAAGCCGAGTGAATACAGAGTCAAAATTACCCAGCCTCTCATTTCCCAGGAATACAGTGACACTTCTGCTGCCTCTACCAAGGTAATGTAACTGGCAAATATGAAAAGGTTTTTCCCACTCAAGCAACTTACGCGACCACCGACTTATCCTTCTTCCCATTTTGCTGGTGCTCATCAGAAGACTGAAGAGGAAATAATAGTTTCTCCGTCTTCCCTGGAGATGTTGGGGTCGCTGGAGACGATGGAGATGTCTTCTTCTTCTTTTTCTTATTCTTCTTCCTCTAAAAACAGACATGTCATTAGTGGTTGCCTGTCAACATTACCACCTTCTGCATCCTAGGAGACACATTCCTACCTTCTCTGGTGGGATCAGAGTTCCGTGTTTGAAATTAAAGCATGACAGGTCAACGGATTCTCCCAAGAACTTGGCCAGCTCAGGCTTGCTGCGGAAGCGCTGCCCAGTGGGACTAGCAGACAAGAAGCTCGAGATAAGTAAATGGCAGGAAATATACATAACAGAAACAGAAAAAAGATCAAAGAAAGAACTCACAAGCCCTATCTGAACATAGTCAGCCTAATATTTTATTGTTCAGAATTCAACAGCAATACATGGGTGGTCCAATCAAATAAATTGTACCAAACAGAACGATGGGTCCTGGCAAAAATGTAACTGTACTTAGCTCAATTCTTTTTTGTGTAAAACAAATGTTTGAAACAATCAAATCTATGATCATTTAATAAAAAAAATGGAAGCTGCCATTACTAACCCCTCATGAAAATGCTCATACCCTAGCTACTTTGAAACAGTGTCCTCCCTAACAAATATGTGGAGAAGGACGTCTGATTTTTCTCAGACCTGGCTGACCTGCATGCTGATGCCAGGTGTCCAATTCAGAAAGAAATAAAGGATAAAGGAAGTGGATTAGAAGACAGCCAGTCAACTGCCATTTTCAGAAAGGAGGTCAGCAATGCAAAAAGATGACAGCTACAAGACCTCTGGCAACTTTCAATCAACAACATTTAGCCATGCTTCACCTATAAATCTTTCAGATGACTTATGCTTCCTAAAGTAATTTGTACCCAATGTAATACCTGACTGCAATGCCAAATGTCATCAAACTTGAGTTTTCCTGATCGCTCGTGCGTCACCGAGCTGCTCTCGTTCATCCTGACATGAAGGCAAGACAGCAAAGGTGCTATACAAGTCAGTGTTTTGGCATTCTATTTTAACAGCTCCTTTAGCACAGTCTATAAACCGATTACTATTTTATCCAAACAGGTCTGTACCGTATAAAATATCAGTGCTACAAATCCAGGCTAAAGAAAAAATAAAAGGAATATGGGTAATATACAGAGAGCAGGAGCAAACTGCAACTTTAAATGAAAAACCGTAAACAGCGGTGATATCCATCACGGTTTTGGTGTTTGAAAAACGCACTTTTATAGTGTATTTGGCTGGCAGATACTCTTTATCATAATACAAGTACATGGGACCAGCCATATTTGCTCATTACATATGCAGGATGCTCTTCCTTTGTAGCAGAGCTGCACAGAGATTGAAAACAATGAGCGCTGGATAACTATTTCAGCAGATATTGAGCAGTGTTTGACATCCACAGTGATGCTAGAGAAAGGATCTAAAAACATGCGTATGAAAAGGCAAATAAAAAACAATGGAGCAGCATGCATTGACATTTGTCAGTTTGAAATGGATAAACTTTAGTAACTCAGAATTCATACAAAAATAATATGCCATAGTTGACCTTTAAGCTGAATTATTTTAACTGTAATATAAAAAGATCTAATCTAAACTTTGCATTAGTTCTGCATGATTAAATGTAATGCAACACAACTGATCAATAGCTTGGGTCAGCCAGGCAGAAAGCAAGCAGATTATCTGTCACTTGACAACAACAACTCTGGGCTGTTGCCTCTAGTTCCAGTTTAAACCTACAATCTGATCATAAAGAACAATACCTTTGATAGTAAGTGTCTGTCTGTCCACAGGACTGTCCAGATTTACGGACGGCTGTCCTCCGTTTCCAGCCCTGGCCCAGCAGTGGCCAGTCTTCCCAGCCCTCAGACATGGTAAGAGGGGCTCCGTGGAACTGCAAAAACAAGAACAAGGGGACAGGATGATAAATGGGCCTCAGAGCTTGCGGCAGATGCAGCTGTAGGACAGGCACTCACATTGGAGACACACATGGATGCTCACAGCTTCAACCCTGGGCCAGAGCCTCTGACTCACTGAATTCCTGCTATTCCAACCCACAGTAAAAGGCTGTGGGAGGAAGTGAAGCAGACAGGAACACCCTGCAATGCGCTGGAAGCCAGGAACAGATTCTAATGACATCTTAAGCACAAGAGGGCCATCAGTTAACGGCCTCCTTCCCCCATCCCCTGAATGCATGCAGCCTGGACCAGTGTAATTCATTACACAATCCTCTTCACTAGGATAAGCCTATTTAAAGGGTCAGTGCACCCAAGCGGATATTTCTGTTCCTCAGAGATGCTGGAGATTTAAAGGTGAACTCCAGATATAAAAAACACAAACTGATACGGCTTGGTATTTATTACATAGTTACATAGTTACATAGTATTTGAGGTTGAATAAAGACATTAGTCCATCAAGTCCAACCAATTAATACATCCTTTAATGTGATTTTGTAAATGTAAGCAGTACAGGTTCCAGATTTTAAACAGCCTCTTGTAGGACCTGTACAGCAGATCTTAGACTGGGAGAAGCAGCACAAGCAGTTATGCTGCAGTACAAAGCATGCTGATAGGAGGAGACTGCAGAGGGAGAGAAATTAGCTCGTCGGTCTGCTGTTTCTCTTTTCATTGCCCAAGCACAGGCTAAGGGAGGGAGAAGACCTGTAAAGCTCCATTCACACTTCGCATTAGTCTTCTCAATTCCTCCCCGAGATTCATGTGACCTGATGCTGGTGGGAAGCTCTGTACAACACAATGTCAGCTGCCACCACCCATAGCCGTTTGCAGGCCATTCTCAAAACACTCACATGTTGCGAGTACTTGTGGACAATAGCACTTGAACGCACACTGCCTCCAGGTGTGATCATCCACAGGTAGTAGGATGGAGGTAGCATGTTGGTAGTAGGAGGGTTATCGAGGGCTGGCCTACAGTTACTTTGTATTTCAGTGTCAAAACCTCCTGCAGGCAGCACTACAACCCAACGGTGAATGGTTTCAAGCCTTCCTTTAATGGATAAGAAAACTTCCTTTGCTTTCCTGAAATCCTTTCAGTAGTTGGCAATTAAGTAAATTTCTGGTATGGGGTAGCATGTGCCCAGGGCTGGCAGTTGAGCTAAGGGCAAGTGGAGCTGGGGAGGAGCAATAAGATCAGGGGTAGGCAACTTCAGCCCTCCAGCTGTGGTGAAACTACAAAGCCTATCATGCATCTGCCTCTGAAAGTCATGCCCATGGCTGTCAGTCTTGTAATGCTTATGGGACTTGTAATTCCACAACAGCTGGGGGTCCAGAGTCGCTCACCCCTGATTAAAATGAACCTTTTGCTTTGCCATACAGGAATGAAACAGGCTCACTTTAAAGTCAGTCTGCACTTACACCAACGAATGATCATGCCCAAGAACAAAATGAAATGACTGCAGCTTACCAGTCCTTAGTTATGGTGGCTGCATACGTTTCCTTTTGTTAATGCTTTTTACTTGTATTTTTATCAAGGAATTCAATTATTTTGTGTTACATACAACAGGAAAACAATAGAACAGATGCACACCAAGGCAGTGGGGCTTACAGTACCAAAACAGGTAAAAGAATGAGGCCTCCACATACTGGCTACAAAACGTAGATGGCGTCACCATTGCCATGAGTCACAGGCATGTCGTTGATGAGCTATCAATTCTTCCGTTCACGTTATAGGGTGTCACGTCAATAAGCTATCATCTCCTCCATTTGCATTATATGACATCATTTAGATGTCCATTCCTGGATGGAAGAGGTTGTGGTGGAGTTTCAGGGTCTAAGAATGTGTTCTAGCTGTGCAAAGAAAATCGAAGCAGGGAGATAGAACCAGGAAATGCCATGACCAAGCATTTTCTGTGAACTGGAGAAATATTCTTCCAGAAGGGTCCTTTTAGAGCAAAGGGTCCTTAAAGTGTGGGTCGCGACCCCATATGGGGTCCCGCAAGTGAACAGGGGGGGGTGCGATCCGAGTCCCCGGCCAAGACCGCCATCGGGGGGGTATGGCCGTTACTTCTGTGAGGGGCCCAGGCAGCCGAGGAGGTCTGGGCTCCAAGCTAGATTGTTTTATTTCAGTTTAATGTATAATTTGCAGTGTAGTTTTTAAGGTCATGTCCCCCCGTGCACTTGGTACCTTCCTGAGAAGAGGAAAGAGACACTGACTGGTGCTGGGAGGGGAGGGAAGAGGAGAGACACACTGACTGATGCGGGGGAGGACTAGTTCACAATATACAAGTGAGCGTGCCCACTTCAAGACAGAGCTAGCAAAGCTCAGATCTAATGAGAGTCGGTGTAGTCTACGTGGTGCTGTGTACCAGGGAGTCAATAGTTTAAAGGAGGAACTTTAAGCTATTGGCACATCAATGACTGCGTTCCGGTCAGAAAAAGAATAGTGCATGCAGCATTGTTTGTGATCGCACCGGACCAAAAGCAAGCATTGATATGCCACGCATTCTGGCGCAGCCGATCGCACTGCGGCAGGGGGGCATGTCTGCGCTGCCATTGCACCGTCACACCCTCTCTCGCCCCAGAATGCTGTGAGCCGGCTGGGATGCGATTCAGTGCGTTCCACCACTGAATCGGGCCGGAACACACTGTTTGTGGTGTGAACTAGCCCTTAAATGGTAGGTCCTAGCTGAGCACATGTACACCATGACAACTATATTCCAAATATAGGTTAAGAGAACACTTTCCATTGCCGAAATGGATAGGAAGTTGTAGTTCTGCTTTAAAGTTCCTTTCTCGGACAGAGCTGGCCATGCTGAATTAATCCGCGAGGCTGAAACGTGCAGTTTTAGCTTCATCTGGGAGAGTTATAGTCCGTGCTCTCTGGCATTTTTTCAATTGTCCAACTATGCATAGGAAACTAAAGAGCTGTATAAAAAAATAAAATAAAAAAAAGATATGTGCTAATCAGGGTTGCTACTAGACCTACATAGCCGTTCAAATAGGGTCAATTATGGATGTTATTGCATGTAAAACAAATGTGAGCTGAAGACACACACACACACACACACACACGATCCTGGCTGGTCCCCGCAATCTCTTTTCCTCCAGGCTCGGGCGGTCGGTCCATTCACCTGCATTACACAGGAGGACGCCAAGGGAGATACCATCCTATTAATGGCCGTGTGTTGTATCATGAGATTATTGCAACCCCATGATGTGAACAGGCCCTTATGCTTCGGATCTGCCCAAAAAAGCAAGCTATGCCCTGCTCAGCAGGAAGGGATCCCAGTAGCTGCCTGACCTACAAGTTTTGTACATGGATCCCCAAGGCTTTTGTCTCATCTAAATGTTTCCCCAGATGGATTGAGCCATCTTTGTTCAGGTATCACACAGGGTCACCATCTACTTCCTGAGGTAACACTCACAGATGCCACTATCATGTAAAATCTTGGAGACTGTGTAGCTCTTTGCTCCACTCACAAATGTCTGACAAATGAATCCTCTGCTGCACCCCTGTGACTTCAAAATGATGTTTCAGTCTGATTACTGGGGGGAGAGAAGACCAAGGAAATGCTTTCTTCTGCCTGCAGCAGATTGATGGCATCATGTCAACCTAAGTAAAATCAAAGACAGGAGCTCAAGGACGGCTTTTTTAAAGTAGAGTAATGGCTAACTTTTGGAGTTTTCATATGTAAAGCTGAAATCCAGTCCAAAAAAAAGGGTGAAGATAAAAATGAATAGCCCATCAAAAAATAAAAATGCTGCAATATTTATCTTCCAGGTCTCCCCTGCAGCACATTTATATAGAGTACAATAGTACAAAACAATAGTGAAAAGCACACAAAAACTATTAAGGGCTTGTTCACACCAAATGCAGACCAGATCTGCATGAGTTTCTGCACAAGCAGTGTGTTATGCAGCATTACGGGCCATTTTTTACAAAATAAATATATATTTTTTTTTACCCTAAAATGGGCTTAATTGCATTGCATAACCGCTTTTAGCTCCGATTATGGCACGCATTTGACGTTTCAATAGGCTTACGAAATGCCGTATATTTGCGTAGAGTATATATGCGCAAAAACAGAATGGAACAGAGATGCGTCCGGACAGCGTATTTCTGCATATTTACACGCATACATGTGTACAGCACATTAAAAATTAAAATTACGAGTGATGCATTCTGGGATTGCATATAGTGCACGCATAGACGCATGCATATACGCAATATACAATTTTGCTTGCGTTGTGTGTGAATGAGGCCTTATTTCCATCCAGAGTTGCATTCATTTTACACCAAGATCTTGTAGTGAGGATGGGAGAGTTGGACCACTGCATAAGTCTTCCCCAGCACATCCCAAAGATTCTCAATGGAGTTAAAGTCTGGACTTTGTTGTGGACAATGCATGTGTGAAAATTATGCCTCATGCTCCCTGAACCACTATTTCACAATTTGAGCCCGATGAATCCTGGCAGTCATCTTGGAATATGTCCATGTCAAGAGGGGAATAAAAAAAATCCATTGATGGGAAAACCTGGTCAATCAGGATATTCAGGTAGGCAGCTGACATCATATTTTGGAGACATAATATTGCTAAACCTAGACTTTCTTTTTTTTCGGGCCAGGCAGTATTTATCTATACATCTCAAAAAGGGGGGTGGGGGAGTTGTAGAACCGAGGGCTATTTGTATTGCTCATCCTGTGGATTTACTGCCGAATGAGCAATCAATACAGCTTTCTCTGCTGCAATCTCCCCACCACCCACTAACACCCTAAACACACTCTCCAAAATATATGAGAGGAAGATCCAAATTTTGTGTGTGTATATCATATTTAATAGCATACGTTAAAAAAAAATAAAAAAATAAAAATATATACTTATAGTAATTCACTTTAGGCTCGATTTAAAGCTGACACACCAGGATGACGATACTTATTTTCAAAAAGTGAGTTATAGTAGAGTCAAAGAAATTTGAACGACAGTCACATGGCTGAAATAAAGATACTTAACCTTATGCTAAAAGGAGAACTATGAGGCGAGTGAAAATCGTCCATCCTCATAATTCGAGCCGACGTGTGACAAGGAAACTGTCACGTCAGCTCAATAGATCGGGAAGTGAGCGAACACATAACGTCGCTCGCTCACTTCTCGATCTCCATGCAGGGGTTCCCTCGCTCCGATCCTCCAACGCTGACTGA